GCAGTGCTAGAAAAGATTAAAAAGTTCTGCTACCTCTACTAATTATATAACTAGGCTCTGTAAAGATTTAAGTTTATAATTAAAAATAACACTTACTTTAACTATAAAGTTATTATTAATGTTGTATAAATTAATAATAAAAATGTCTTACATGTTATTAATATAGACATATTATTTTAGGCTGCTACATTTCTAAAATCTATATCTGCATAAGATACCTAGGATGCACTATGCAAATGCTAGATTAACACTTATTAAAAACCCTTAGACTACATTATGCATAACTCTAGTATAAACTTTGCTTTAAAAGATTTTTAAGCTTATATAAAGATTATAAAAGCTATATATAGGCAGATGCCTGTAGAAGCACATTAGGCAGTTAGAAAAGTTAAGCGCGCGCACACACCTCTCTAACAAGCGTTTAACATCTTAAAGACTAAGCTAGGTAACTGTACAGATAATAAGGCTATCCTGTAGATAGCAGTTAAAGCTCTAAATAACACAGCTAGCCTACATAGTCTAGTACCCACACTACTAGTCTTTAGAGCATACTTAAGAATTAACCTAGACTTTTTACTATTACTAGACATTATTGCACAAGCAAGCGCTGTATAAAAGGTAATAAAGATACTTTAAAAGGACTATGTAAAAGTAAACATTAATTATGTAATTAACACTTATAATAGCCTTATAACACATAAAGTTCTTAACCTCCCCCTTAGCTTAAAGATTATAGCATAGAGGGAGAAAGAAAGCTAGACTAGCCTATATAAGATTAAGAGCATTAAAGAAAGAGACATTATTATTAAAAAAAAATAGCCTACTAAAGCTCTAATATACGCAGGTTAAACTGTACTATAAAAAAAAAGAGAAAGATAACTTACCTGTAATAGATAACCTAGATAAACTAATCCCTATTTAAAGAGATTCTTTAAAGAAGAGGAAAAGAAAACAGCCTTATAAAAATATTATAAAGGTAGAACTAAAGCCTACTATAAACTAAGCCCCTTAGGATAGCAATGCTGCACTAGTGCAAAAGGAAGATATAGATACTAAGAAAAGTAAAAGGCAAAAGAAACCTGCATAAAGTCTAGACTAAGTATTTCTAACCTAGAAAAAAAAAGATAATTAGGCTTTATCTATTAAGCTTTATATAGACAGTGTAATTACTACACTTAAAAAACTATTTAAAAAATTAAACTACACAGAGATAAACACTTTAATTACTAATAGCACTTTTAAAGTTATAGCATATAACTTAATAAGGCATAAAGGTTAGATTTTTAACCTCTGCCTTATATAAAAAGTAAAAGGCAAAATAACTTAACTATATAAGAAATCCTGCCTAGTGTTTACTAGCTACTTAGATAAAGAAAAAAGAGAAATTCTTACCTAGTTACTAACTATCTAGAGGATAAGCTAGAGACTACTTTTAGCTATAAAAGTAAGCCTAAAAGCTACATACAAAATGCATTTTAAACTGTGTAATATTACATAAGTATACATCTAATTAATAGATAAGCTTATGCACACACTGTACACAAAGCTACTAAAGAAAATGCGCTAGAGCTTTTTACTAAATATAATACTCTAGGTTGTACAACTCTTGTATAGAGCTACTAAATTAGGACTGTATTAGTTTAAGACATACTATAACTACTATAAAAAAAAGCTACGCATGCACATTTTTTTATATAACCTCTACTTTTTAATTACTAATAAAGGAGAGCACACTTTTAGTATTACTAGCCTATAGATAGATAACACTTTAAGTATTATAATAAAAGATTTTGTGCAAAGAGAAGAAAAAAAACTATAAAAGGTAAAGTTTTACATAAAGAGTAAAACTATTTTAGTAGAAAAGCAACTTATTAAGTTTAATAGTAAAAAGATTAAACTTACACATAACATAGTAGTTTTTACTTAGAAAAGATAAGTAAGCTACCTTTATATAATTAACCTAAAGGATAAGGATGCTGCATAATAATATGTTAAGTAACATGTAAGAGAGGCATACATTGCATTTATATGTTAACTAAAGGCAGCATTTAACCTGTCTATTACTACACAAACTATAGACCCTTTACATAATAATATTAACACACTTAACACACAAATTTAATAGTAGATAGATAATAGTAAGTGTAGTCTTACCTTCCTACTATTACAGCTTAATTATGTAAAGCTGTTTATCTTTATAAATAAATTATTTACTAATAATAGGAACCTTAGCTTACAGCTAGGATTCTTAATTATATTAAGTAATAAAAACTGTATAAAGTAAAGCAACTACTTTAAAATACTAGGCAACATTATACACTAGAATTCTACTAAGTGTAAAAGAGTAACTAAGAGTGTCCTTACTAGCAAACTGTATAGAATAGTTAGAGGGTTTAATAATGTAATTACTTTTAGTATAACTTTATAGTAAATTATATAAACACTTAAACTACTACTAATTCTAGTAGTAATCTACACAGATTTAAGGTCTCTATATAATTACCTTATTAAGCTAGGCACTACTAGTAAAAAGTAACTTATAATTAACATTATGTTACTCTATAAATTATATAAGAAAAAGGAAATTGCTAAGATTAAGTAGATTAATAGTAAAAACAACCTAGTAGATGCATGTATAAAGAAAATACTAAACTAAGCTCTTTAATTATTAGTCCTAACTAACTGCCTCTCTGTCTAGATAGAAGCATCTGTGGACTGGCTAGATCCTGTGCGCAAAGATGCCTTAGACTAACTAGACTAACAACGCCTTTATATAAGGCCTATTTCTCTTTGTTTTATTTTTTTTTATATTGTACACACTTATCTTTTTTATTATAAGTATCTGTTACTGTTAGCACTGTACAAAAAGAGAAAAGAGCTAGGGAATAGTACAGTAGGGCTTAGAGAGTAAAGGATAAAGAAAAGAAGGTAAAGGAGAAGAGGAGACCTTATTATATACACCTCCCTACGCACCTGCCTACGCAAAGATCCTACACTATTCTAGCACAAAACCCTACATAAAACAGTTTATACACTGCTAAATTACTCACAAGGCAAGCGCACAAAGGCTAGACAATAATAGCCTAAAATACTCTACACTATTTATAAAGCTATCTACATAGCGTAACTAGCCTATCTTAATGTACAGCATTACTAAGGCAAGTCCTAATAAATAGAGTGGAGTAAAGGCAGAACATAATTAGATAGACCTACACAGACAGAAGGGAGGCAACACGTACAGAAGGCAACTCTTTAGACAAAAAGAAAAGTTGCTAGTGTCTGTACACAGCAGCAGCGTTGCAGCCTAGATACAAGCGATCACGCACAAGCAGGATTACGTATCTATGTTACATAATGCTTATGCGCAAACCTCTGTGCGTAAACATCTAGATACCCCCCTTTTCCTCTGTATAAAGGAAAGAAAAGAGCAATAGAACTAGAAACATGTTGCCCTTACTTTACCTACCTTGTATGCTGTGCACACTGTACACCACTCTTACTCTTGCTACTTAAGTGCTTATACTATAAGCAGCTAGCTGTTAGAGCCTATTTAACATGTAGTATGTTACTTTAAAAGTGTTATATTTTATTTAAAAGCTTAAAGTATAATCTATATTTAATTTTTTTTAGCATATTTAAGTAGTGTTATTAGAAATATATTAGTGTAAAATAAGTAGTTTAGTAAGGTCTTAGTAAAAGTAAGTAACTTAGGTGTGTAAGCAACTTGCCTGTAGAGTACCTTAACTAATACACTTGTTTATTCTAGTATCTTTGTCTATAATTAACTAATTTCTTAAACAGAGCTTCTTTATCTTTGTTACTAATCTTAGTAGGTCTTCTAAGCTTTATAGTAGGTAGTTTACAGACACTGCTATAGCTTTTTAGGTTATTCTCTACATTTTAATCTATATAGAAAGAGCAGCTTTTTTAGTTAGTAAAAGTAATTCTAGACTACTTAAGTAGAAGAAACTTATAGATGTTTATATAAACATAATTATTAAGCCTTTAACTACTTAGTTTAATATACTAGAGTAGTTAAAGCTAATAAAAAAGACTAGAGATGCTATAGGCGCGATACATTATAGCCTAACGCTGTAACAAGGTCGGCACAGTTAACCACGTGGCCTTCTCTCGCTTATAGAGGTTTAGGCTAGACTAGAGGCAACCGCTAGTGCTAGTGCTAGCTCTAGCATTACCTATATATATATTATACTATGCGAGAATACTTAGCTTAAATATTCTTGTGCGTACCTTTTAGTGTAGTAGGGAAAGTTGTATAGTATCAACTTGGCAGGCAGGGCGCCTACCTTATCACAAACGCGTTGTTACTCTTAAAAAAGTTAGTATACACGCTTCTCTATACAAACTAAAAGCTTTAACTTACTTTAGGCAGTTCTATTAGGTTTTTATTAATATATAGTGGATCTTGTTAAAATTTTAATCTCTTATACAATTTTAGTAGAGAAAAAAAAATCTTAAGGGCAGTGCTAAGAAAGGCCCTGATTTTTGCAGATAATAGATGTCATTTTCATTAGAATGTTCTCGAATATTCGTCCAACTTCAGAAAGCTTATCCTCTTCCGCAAACCCTGTCCCTTTTTTGTGACGGTGACTGTTGGTAGTTTTGGGAATCCCAGTCAGCATCTTTACTAACCGTTTATTGCCTTTCTCACCCGCCGCCCTTCACGACCTGAGGACTCCGCCACCAGAGAGTCCTAGAGCCTTCCTTTCTCCCACGTTTGGCCCCGCCCTCTCAGAGCCCCGCCCTCTCGGATCTCGTCGCTGCCTCTTCCCTCTTCCCTCTTTACGCTTCGGCTCCGGAGCCGATGGCGTGGCCTCACCCCGCATCTTTTGCATGCCGTACCATCTGCGGCGATCACCCTTGGAGTGTACGAGACGTGCTTCTTCAGAAACCAGAGCGTAAAGTAGAATGGCTTGAACATTGTCTCATAGAAACTCGAAACACAAACTCGCATATTAAACATCAAAATACCGCCTACCTCACCAATGAGGAATCAGATCAATATACGGGACGGTATTGAAGACTGATAGAGGTAGTATTCTCAGACCAAGAAAAACCTCTACCACCATGTAAAACCGCGCAAGCAGGTAAATAATGACCAGAGGCAGGATCAGTGCGACTTCCCAGGGAAGAGGCATGGGCCTCGACTCTTTCATTTCTCGCTCTCGTTTCTCTTCCTCGGTCTCAATCCCCTCAATATCTCTGACTGCTTCTTTCTTGAACCTCAACCAAATCAGATATTTATCCCACCGTCCAAACCTGTGCCTCGCCGCGATAGTTTCAAACGCCCAAAACAGGACCGTGACTCCCGTTAGGATACAACTTGCGATGCGCCACAAATATTGCTCCGCGTTGCTCGGAAAGCTAAAGTTCCAACCTACTAGATGGACCGCCGTATATGCCGTTGTCATGACAAATAGGACAAACTTTTCGGTTGTTGTGATATCCGGAAACCTGTCATTTGGAAGTCTCCGCAGAGGCCGTTCTTTGGCGTCGAATCGGACGCCGAAATATCCCATGATGTCATATCCCACAGTTGAGCTTTGCTTCGCCACAAAGTCAAGAGGAGTATGAACGTATGGCTTTTTGGCGTCTTCACCTGCATCTAGGAGAATCTGCTCCGTTGAAACACCGATATTCAGAATCACTGGCCTTCGAACGTCATAAGGCTTATGAAACCAGCAATAAAACGTTCCAAGTGTGGAGAACACGATAGCGGCCGCCGAGATCTCTAAGGTTGTCGTTTCTAAGCGCATGATGGCCCTGCCAATAAGCTGGATTATTAACCAGCTTACTTGGGCCAGCGTCATCACTCTTGCCAGAGAATCCGCTTTGGATTTGTCCCATATGTCGTCTCCATCAAGTTGAGGGCAGGCCAAGTATCCGCGCTCGACGAGGTAGTACAACTGTCTGCTGTTGGTAAGGAAAGGAGTGCTATCTTTTGGTTGTAAAAGTAGTCCTCCCATGTCTGCAAAAAAACCATGACGCATGGTCCAATGAAGGTCGCCGCGACCTCTGAAACGTTTGACTGATCGCTGAGCAGATGACCACTGACCGATTGCAAAAGATACTACAAACTCAGGACCGACTATGGCCCAGAACATCCATTTAGTTCGCCGTAAGACGCCTCGAAGCGGAGACTCGTCTTTGTCGGGTAGATTCAAACATACGGATGTCCAGGTACAGAGGAAAACGGTGAATAGGCTGCTCCAAACGATATCGAAAGTTCCGCGGCCGTTTGGTTGGCTGACCCATCCAGCCACGAAAGCATGTTGGCTATCGAAAGATTGATTGTTGACAGCAGGCCCGGGTAAAAGCGGAATACCAGTTGAAATTGTCATATTAACCAGATAAATAGCAGTAGATGTAAACGATACTTGTTAAAAGTCTTTATGGACAAGACATATCCTTCAAACTTGGGACAGATCTGATCGACTGACCACCATCGGGAGGAGCAATGGTCATTTATCACTCTAAGGCTGCCTTACCGCTGAGCTGTTACTGTGGCTCTTCCCCCAAGATGCCATTGGGCGTTGCAAGAAGGAAAGCTAGTTCGTTCGAAGCATTAAGACTAGAGGGTTGTTTTAGGTCGCGATTAATAGGAGACATCGCGGTCGAATTACTGGAGGTGTGGCCTCATCTGAGACTCTGCTCTAGTCAGTCCCCCCTTGTGCTGATCCTTATTCAATATCTGCAGTGTGCCAACGAAACCGAATACAGACACACCAAACAAGAAACGCAGCCCCTTCGTATGTACCACAAGTAACCTTAAGAGAAGAAAGAAGACAATTGGTGGGAGGAAGCTTTCCCGATGGGACACCCCATCCTTGGCTCAATCATACTAGTTTCTTAGCACTGTTATGGTACTTGCTGAGGCAAGAGGATTGTATTAAGTGTAAATGTACCCCTGTGGCACAGAGTGCAGGGGAGAAAAGCGGCACAGTAGGAAATATGACTCAGAACTTAACCTTGTATGTGAGCCAATATCTTCTATCAAATTCCGAAAGTTTATGCCAACCTTTCGGTTATTCTAAAAGTCATTCATTTAACAATGTAGAGATGTCGTTTAATGTATGGAGTATAATTTTTGCGGGTCGCTTTTTCTCAGCCTAGCCTGTATGAATAGCAAGGTGGGGATTGCCGCTTGAGCTTCGTTTCATTTTGTGATCCATATCCCAAGTGATTATACAAGACAAACAATGCGCTACATATGTGTTAGCAAAGGGAATTGAGTCAATGCCTCACTAGTGAGAAAACATGAGAAGCCATCTATACCCTGTCATAGAAAACTTCAACCAACCAACTGCTTTAAAGAAAACGACAACTTCAGAAGAAGCTGCATTCGCAGTATTTCTCCGTGACTGGATTCCCGGCGTTTTCTCAATGTCATCTTAACCCCTACAAAGGGTGCGGCGCGTGGATGAAACACGCGCGAGAACATTAAAATTCCGCCACCAATAGGATAACCCATGTACGCCCGGGCGGTAACAGCACCCTTTGTATCGCCCGGGCGTACATGGGCTATCATATTAGTGGCGGAATTTTGACGTTCTCGTACGTGTTTGATTCTTCAACGTGCTGCACCCCATGTATCACAGCGTTTTGCGACCAATCGTTGCTTGTGGCGGCCGCGACGAGTATATAGAGCCACGTTTGCGCGCTTAGGGTTGTTAAAAAAGGGACGTTAAGGACGACACTCAATCCCATATAGAGCCGAAATTTATCTGATCGATTGTTTCCCAAACCTCCAGGACTTGGAAATTATTCCCACGTTAAAGTCTTGCAAATTTCTCGGCGCTTATGTAACCATGGCGATTGAAGCCGAACGCCACACGGGCCGCTCAGCAATGGACTCAAGATCCAGCGATCTGCTCCGCAGCCGTCGCGATACTAAGAAGTCGATGGCCGAGGCAGAGTCGCCCACCAATTCCGACATATCAACGGATCCTCTGACCAGCACCCCTTCCAATTCGAAGTGGCCTCAGATTGGCCACTGGGATTCCGTTCCACTGTGGTTGCGCGACAACGAATTCATCCGCACTGGCCATCCGTTACCTACATTTTCTCTCCAAAAATCGTTTCGCCTGTGGTTTTGTATTCACAATGAGTTCGTCAATATTCATTCTCATGCGTTTGGTTCATCTCTCGCCTTAGCGGCTGGAGCCGTTCTTCTTGCGAAATCATATACACCGGACCTGCCGCCCAGTGCTAGCCTTCCATCCAGCGCTGGCTTAGGTGATCGCCTGGCATTCGCAGCGTTCTTTGGAGCCTCTGCTCTTTGTTTTGGGTTTAGCGCTATATTTCACACGCTCAGGAGCCATTCGTATAACGTACATCACTTCTGGGGCCGAATGGACATTATAGGCATTAATATACTCGTCTTGGGCGGCGGCGTGTCAGCAAATTACTATGCGCTTCATTGCCATACAACGCTTCAAAGGATATACTGGATAACAGTAAGTACAACTCTGTAATTTTGTATTCTATACGTACATAACAGTAACTGCAGATTCTTGGTTCATGCGTGTTAGCATCAAGCACTCTCGTCGTCGGCAAACACAGATCCCCAAAATGGCGCACTCTACGAGGTGGTGTATTTGCTCTACTGGGCCTTTCAGCAATGCTACCTATCATCCACGGTATCGGGCGTTTAGGATGGGTCAACGCGAAACAGCACATCGGAGCTCAGTGGTATCTGCTCGAGGCTATATCGCTCTTGACAGGTGTCACTCTCTTTGTAGTATGTATCCCCTTATTCACTTTCCCTAAACCTATTCTCTAGACTTCTTCATTTAACATATCCACTTAACCTACCTACATGCTCACCCCTGGAACTTTGCTAACCAAAAAGCAGACAAGGCTACCAGAAAAATTAAGGCCGGGTTCATTTGACATCTGGGGAAATTCTCATCAATTATTTCATTTTTGTGCTGTGGGGGCTATGGTATTTCATTTCTTTGCACTAAGAAAGGGATTTGAATATGTGCATTCAACCTCAGAGTCATATTAAAATTCATTTAGATTAGTGCCAGTATGCAGACGAAAGACTTAATGAGCAAGAGGGAGCATCCTAGGATGAGTACCAGAATGATTGACTTAGAAGATATGGCCAGTCTCAGAGGGCGTAGATCATATGTCATGTATAGATGTAGTGGAAATGATGTTCCAAACAGTTCCAAAAAGTGATGCCTACTCATGTTAAGACCGCTTTAGGGGACGAGTCTATTGGTTCATTCATATGTATTGACTTGGCAGCTAAGCAACTCCTTGGCGAGCAGTTCACTACGATCCTTCGCAGTACTGCCTCGTCAGCCCCCTACTTGCTGTATGTCCACGTTTTTCCGCCAGAGACGATCTCCGCAGAAGGTTTGGGAAGTGGTCAGCGAAGATGTTCGCATCCGCCATGTTCATCCCCTGTTACCGCGGGTGTTTGCATTCTTGACCGGACTCAAGGGGCGCTAGTATCGAACTAGCTTTGTTCCCGAAGTAGCGACGCTGGGCGTTGGCGGCGGAGGCATTTCGAGCTCGTCCCCGTATTCACAGTCGTTTAGCTCACTGCGGATTGATTATGCGCGGTTAGTTGCCCACTCCTCAAGCGATTTCGACTCCGTGGAAGGGTTTAACGCGTCAATTGTTTCTTGTGTAAGTGGCGGTGTATTCGACCTACGGCGCTTGAATGCATGGTCGAGGTTGTAGGCAGACGCGCCTGTGTCGTGCAGTTTGCAGCGCTTGGAGGAGCGTATGCTGTCGTTCGCAAGCCCGTCTGGCCAGGCCTAACGAGCCCACGCTTTATTACCGTACCGAGACGATGCAGCGACCGTGAAAAGATCGATGTGAGCAATGTGGAGGTTGTTCGTAAGTGTTGTGGTGGTGGTGCTCACAAACTGTCCAGCAAAGCTCGAACCCCGTGTTAGCGTTTTTCTTGGCTACGGACTCAGAGTTGTTCCGTTTCCGAAGCGGCGTAGTATGCCCCACACAGGGCTGGGGCTACAACCCCCTCCCATGAACGGGCTGTACCGCGCGCACAGGCCCACAAGTCTTAAATGCTCTTAAAATGCTGTTTTCTATGTAAAATACATATAAATAAACATTATATTATTGTATTATCTTACTACTTTATATGTCCCCCTTTAGCCTAGATAACTACCTAACAGCGCTTTCTTATTAACTTTATATACTTATTATAGTTACTAAAGGACAATTTTTTTTATTCTTTAAAAAGATACTGCCTTACTTTATTATTAATCTTTAAAAAACACTTTTTTAAGTAGTATTTTAAAATCTACTAGATATTCTTAATAAAGTTAAGGTTAAGTAAGTTTACTAGCTATAAGATCTTTAAGATACCTAGAGCCTACTTAGCAGCTATTATAGCTATTAATGTATAAATAAATGTGTTATCTTTTATTAAGGTTAGATTCTTGCCTGTGTACTCTATATACACATCTTAAAAGGTTATAACTAAAGGTAGGATGTGCTTAATATATACTTTTAAGTTAATTAACTACTTTTTATTTATACACTAGCTTTTCTTATACACAACTAGAGAGCCCTTTATATCTTTTAATATTATTACCTACACTGTGCAGCTAAATTAGCTCTTAAATCTAGTAACATAGTAGGTAGGCAAGAAGCGCTTCTTAGCGCACTTTGCTACCTACACTTTACTAGGGCTAGCCTAGGCGCTTATATAATTACTCTAGCTTATACTAGCTTATTAATTATTGCTCTAGTTAAAGTGCTTCTATGCCTACTAAACTTAGTCTACCTTATATTGCTTAGTAAAGAAGGGTTTTTCTATAGCCTTATAGTAATAATAAAGCTTTTTTTTAAAAGCTTTAATAATTATACGCTAATAGACTGTTATCTCTAGCTTTTAAGCTATCTTCTTTTAAGTTTTCTGTTGTTGCTTAGCGTTCTTAGTTATATACTGTATAAGAAGGATTTAAAATAAGGCCTTCTTATTTAAGGCCTATATGTCTTAAAGTAATCTTAGTTGTTAAGCTTCTTCTAAGTTCTTGTCCTACTGCAACTAAGACCTTTATGTTATAGTAGATCTTATTATAGTTAAGGCTTAGGTCTTCTTTCTCTACCTTTAAGATGTTATAGATTTATTCCTACACTCTATTAGCTTATATCTTAAATTTCTAATGTTCTTTTACTATGCATACATTAACTAAGCAGTTAATGCTTTCTACTTAGTAGTAGTAGAGTTCTTAATTATTCTATTAGGCAGCTTTCTATTAAAAATAATAGAAGGCGCATTTTAAGGTTTCTCTGCATTTAACCTATAGCTTTTTTTAGTAGGGGGGGCCCTCCTTGCAGTGTTAGCAGTGTGGCATTTTGTAGGCTGTAGCCTGTGCCACTATAGTGTCCGTGGATTCTTCTGCTTCTTGTAATCTAATTAGCTACTATCTAGCTCTATGCTTTGTTAACTAGTGCTAAATGCAATATTTATTAGTGCACAGGTACTAGGTGTAGGGACATTGTTCTAGGTTAGTGTAGATAGGTATTAGCTGCACTTAAGTCTATTATAGATATTGTTTTATATAGATAATTTAAAGAGGATAATTCTTATATTAGCATTAGAAGTTATAGTGTTGTTTGCTTTTATAAAAAATGCAGTGTTTATAATTTTATTGCTTTTTAAGTTCTTCTCTTGTTATTACTATTATTAGTAGCAGGGTGTTTAACCTTTCTTCTAATAGGGCTAGGATTTAGAAAGGGGTGTTGTTCTAATCTAATACCTTTTCTTTAGCTAATATTTTTCTAAAAAACTTACATTATTCTTTTTTATTTAGTATGTTATAGTAGACTATAGTAATTTTTTTTAGGACTTTATAAGTGTTATAGTTATTATCTAAGGCTACCTTATAAAGTCCTGTCTTATAGAGGTTATGCTTATAGGGGCCTTTACACTTCTAATAGTCTTCTTATTTAAATTATTATTTAAGATACCTAGCTAGAATGCCTGTTCTACTTTGTTAGATAGAGTACTGTTTCTTGCCTTTTTTTACATTTTTAATGTAATTAGTTACTTGTTAGTAGCTTATTATCTCTTTAAAAACTGCAGCCTGTTTAATAGCCCTAGAGATACTGTCTCCCTCTTAGACCCTTACCTTCTAGTAGTCTACCTAACAGCTAGAGGATTTATAGTTAGCTCTACATCTCTAGCAGAGCCTCTTGTCTAGCCTATTGTAGATTTCTTCTGCTCTTAGGCTTTAGTTAGCGTACATAGCTTTTATAGCTACCTAAGAATTTTTATTCTTTGTCTTTTTAGAGTCTAGGCATTTTTAATAGAAGTAGCTTACTTTTTTATAGTTAAGGCATGCTTTTTTCTTAAGCTATTTTTTTTATTCTTTATTTAAAGGCAGCCTTATGCTTTTAAAGAAGCTGCTTTTTTTTTTTAAGTAAGCAACACATGTGTTTAGCATAACTAAGGTCTATAGGCTTGCTATTAAACTTAGGACTTTCTTTCTTTCTTAAAAACTAGTTAAGTTTTAAAGTTATTATACCTTTTCTTTTTTCTTTAAAGCGCTTAGTGTGCCTTTTGTTGTAGGTAAGTGCCTTTTTAACATAATCTTTAAAGCACTTAGGCTTCTTAGTATAGGTAAATTTATCCTTAATTATGTTTAAGAGCCTGTTATAGAACATTTATCCTACAGCTTTTTAATCTATCTATCTACTAATAGCTAGTTGCTCCCTAAAACAGGCAGTATAGTTCTAGACTATGCTTTTTTTTTTGTTAAAAAGAGTTTATCTTATTAGCAGCTCTTTTTTCTTAATTAACTAGTCTGTATATTATAGTTAGGGCTTGTTTAAAGAAATTAATGTTCTTAAAGACTTATTAGGTTTCTAATAGTAGGGGTTCTTTATTAGCCTTATAGTTTATCTAGTTGTCTACGTAAGGCTAGAACTATATAGTAAGGGATTCTTTAAAATGTAGGCCTATCTAGAAAATTATTTCTTTGTTAGTCTTAAATACACCTTTGTTGTATTACATGTAGAGGTAGTATTAGGTAAAGAATAGTTTTAAGTCTCTAGCTGTGCTGTTAAATGCTTTTAAAAGGGCTAAGTGTAAGGTCTTCTTAGAATCTACACTAGTCCTTTTGTTTACCTAGTTTCTAAGGTTAGCTACTTCTAGCTAGAGGTTCTATAGTTGCTAGATGTAGTAAGATTCTTACTAAGCTTGTTGTTAGAGCTGTTCTAGTTCTTATTAAAGATAAAGTATTTATTAGTTCTGCGCTTCTTCTGTTACAGAGGAGGTCTAGCTAGTGCTAGCAGAAGAGGCGCCTGTTATGCTAATGTCTTAGGTTAGAGTGACTATACTTTACAGAGGTAGTAATTACTGTTACAATTTTTGCTCTATAGAAATAGTATCCTAGAGCACTACAGCCTTTTAGGATGTAAGGGGAGAAAGGGAGGACTTAGCTTAATTAGGTGTACAGTCTGTTAGGCAGAGTGTAGGTCTTGTAGGGAGTAGAAAGGCAGGTTATAGTTTTCCTAAAAAGCTGTATAGGTAGCTAGTAAACTAATCTACTAATAAAATAAGACAGGAGGTATATATGTTATAAGATATACAAGGCAGTAAGATCTTTATTAAAAAGGTATCTGTGCCTCTTAGTCTATTATGTATAAAAAGACTAAACAGTAATTACAGCCTTCTAACTATAGTTGTAATTAGAACTATATACATAAGGTTGCAGGTGTTGCAGGTGTTGCATGCTATTTTTATTCTACCTGCTAAGCCTACACTGCCTGTAATAAGCCGCAGGTTCCTATTAAATAACGCATTTCTTAATACATCTGTCTAAAAGCTAGAGCTATTCCTTGTCTAGCTTGTTACGTAAACTTTCTAGTACAGGCTTTAGAGTTGTCCATGCCGCATCGTTCGGGCTGTGGGGAATAGCTGATTGGTTCGTTACGGCCGGTTCGTTGGTCGTAACAGCGCATTTAGCTTAAGTATATGCTAAATAATTACTTACTTCTTATTATTATCTAGCTTTTATAAGTTAGCTATATAATTAGCTTAAAAAAGTTATTTAGTGTGTTAGTTACTTATTATCTTTTAAAAAACTTTATAAATAGCTATAGTATGTTACTTAAAAAGTGTTACATTTTAATTAAAAGCTTAGAGTGTAAGCTATATTTAATATTCTTTTAACACATCTAAGTAGTGTTATTAGAAATATATTAGTGTAAAAAAAGTAGTGTAGTAGAGTCTTAGCAAAAGTAAGCAACTTAGGTGTATAAGCAACTTGCCTGTGAAGTACGTTAAAGCTTGTGTAGAGAGAGCCTTTTTAAATCTTTAGGGGCTTTAAACATGTCTGTGTAGTCTTAGTATTTACTAGAAATAGGTTATTCTTCTACTATACAGTATATTTTAGCCTACTTAATTGCTGTATCTTTAGATAGTGCTTTAAATATAACTTTTACTGCCTAGGCTTTTAGCTTCTAGTATGGGAATTTCTATAGTTTCTTCTCTTTTAGAAAATAGCTGCTTTTTTATTTTACTTAAAAGTGAATTAAGTAGTTGTCTTAATAGTAAGCTAACTAAGTTATTCTAGTGTAGTTATCTAGTGTCTCTAGACTTATAGTTTTTTAGTTAATTATAAAGTTGTATTTCTGCAGCTAATTATAATCTAGTATAGCCTAGTAGCCTTTTTTAAAAGAGAGGATACTAAGGAATCTCTAGTTTAATATGCTTAGGGTTCTAAAAGTTTTTATATAGGTCTTAAGTCTAATCTATCTCTCTTTATATTTTAATAAGAAGGCATTTGCTAGCTTTACTTTAAATAAAAATTTTGTTATTTAGTATAGAATACTTTATTTCTCTACTTATGTTAAATTACGTGTAGTAAATGTACATCTGCTGTTTACTAAGGCTAGCCTTTGTTTTTCTTAGAATGTAAAAGTTATTATAAGGCTTTACTTATCTTCTTATTTAACTATAACTAGGGCTTAAGTGTTATTAAAGATTTTTTTATAAGCTAGTGTTTAGTTAGGGCTTATATTTTTTAAGTTATTTTAAAAATTACTTTTTTTACTAATTTAGTAACTAGTTATTATGTAGTCTACTAATTTATAATTCTTATTATTAACTAGGTAATAGTAGGAGAGCTAGTTATTTAGTTAGCTAGCTTTTTATTAGAAGTAGTAAAAGATACACTAGTTCTATTAGTTATAGTTAGGCTATAGTAATTTTTTATGTATAGAAGACTTTTAGTAGTGCTAATAGCTAGTTTTTTTATAGGTTAAAGTTATTCTATTTTAGTGCTAACTCTAAATAGTACGTTTCTATAAGGGCTACTACCCTGCCTAGTGCTTAGTGCCCTAGTGTTGTGCGCAGGTGCGTCTAGAACAGTAGTGCTAGGGGTATAGGCATTCTGTTATGTTAAGGCAAAACAGAATTAGCTGTGTCTGTGTCCACGTTAGGTAGTCCTTAGTCTAGACTACCTGTACTAAGTGCTCTCTCTAGTAGCATGTTTTTATTATATAGGAGCTACTACTGCACAGAACGCATTTCTTTATGTTTTATTAAAGTGTAAGTGCTTTTTAGCTAATTGCTAGAGGTAAAAAAGGTGTCTATAGTTATTTATTATAAGAGGCTAGAACTTTAAAAGTTAATGTTTTAATAAGCTTTTCTCTTTTTTTATTTTTTATTTTTATAAAAAACTCTTATTAGTCTTCTTTTTTTAGCATGTTATAACGTGTTCCTGCAATCTGTTTTATAATGTTATAAGTATTATAGTTGTTTCTTATAATTACCTTATAGTCTACTATAAGGTAGTAGCTTTTATAGTTATAGTGCGCTCTATACTTCTAGCAGTAGTGCTAATAAAACTATTTAGTAAGTTCTTTAGTAAAAATTTCTTATATTTATTAGTTAAAAAGAAATTTTTTTTATCTTTTTCTAACTTTTTTTATAAACCTTTTTACTTAGGTACTAGTTTAATGTTCTTTAAAGATAGCTATTTTCTATAGCGCTTAATTAAGGCTGTTAAACTCTTAGAATTCTACTTTCTAGTATAGTATAAGATAAGTTATAAAAGAGTAGTTTTCTTTATATTACTAGTAAAAAAAGTATTTAATTCTCTCTTCTAATTTTTCTTTTATAAGACTATGTTTAATAGTAATAGCTTTTATTACTATAGTAGTATTTTTATTCTTTACTTTCTTAAAGTCTAGGCATTTTTAGTAGAAGTAGCCTACTTTTTTATAGTTTAAGTAAGCTTTTTTTTAAAGCTACTTTTTTTACTTTTTAGTTAATAGTAGCTTATTACTTTTTTTAAAAGTTTTATTCTTCTTTTAGAAAGTACTATATGTGTGTTTTATATAGCTAAGATCTATTAGTTCTCTGCTATATTAGAAAGCCTTTTTTTTAGGTGCTAGCTTAGGCTTCTAGGCAGCTGCGTCTAGTTTCTTTTTACATTTACATTTTTTATGTTAATTATTGTAGTTTATAGCTTATTTAATGTACGTTGTTAAAGTAGTTAGTTTTTTATTATATATAAACTTATTTTTAATTATGTTATATAGCTTTTTATAAAACATTCTTTTTAAAGCTTTCTAGTCTGTTTATCTATAGATAGCTAGTTGTTTGTAAAAGTAAGCTGTGTAGTCTTAAACTGTTCTTTTTCTTTGCTATAAAGTGTTTATTTTATTTACTACTACGTTTTCTTTATTAACTAACTTATAAATTATGGTTAAGGCTTTTTTAAATAAATTTATACTACTAAATATTTTCTTAGTCTTAAGTAAAAGTACACTGCTACTTATTTTAAAGTTTATTTAGTTGTCTGCATAGAGCTAAAACTAGACAGCTAGTAGGCTGTTAAGGTGCAGCTCTATCTACAAGATTATTTCTTTATAGGTCTAGAATTGTAACAATTCTCACAAATTGTTCCATCTTAGGTCGCTTAGAACGTATCCGAAGTGTCCCTGTATCGGCCCTGACTATAACTCAACCTTGTCCTCTGCAGTTACCCCTATTCACCTAAGTATTTAGTCGCACCTCTCCTCTTAGCTAGCTTAGTAGTTTTCTAATATCCTTTGTACAAGGCCTATAGGTGTTAATAAGATTCCTAGGTTATTAAGTCCCCACACACTCCTATATGCCTCTAAGTGGATTCCTACCGCATTTAGATCCATTGTCTTGCCTGTGCTGTTACAAGAATGCTTCTTTATTATACTACATATATAAGTAGCATTGTGTAAAGAAAGGCTTAAAGTCGTTTAAGCTTCTAGTAAAGAGCTTTAAAGAGGCGAGTTTTAAAGTCTTTTTAAAAGTAATACTAGCTTTTTCTTAGGTAGCATTTTAAGGTTTAACACTTCTAGTTATAGGGCCTAAATCTATGCATTTGTTGCTGTAAGTTCTTAGTTCTAGCCTAACTATATAAAAGCTTATTTAAAAGCTGTTATTTCTTTATTTATAGCCTTTAGCTCTTATAACTTATCTTATATAGCATTAATTTACTTTGTAAAAGCTTCTTTATTTAGTAACGTACCTAACAGGTTGGCTGGCCACACAGGTTGGCCGGCCACTTTTGCTAAGCCCCCACTAAAACTACCCTATTCTCTCGCAAAACAGCCCACTTTAGCCCTATATAAAGTAATACAACATAAGATATTATTTAGAGTCTACTTCTACTACTTACTTACATATATGTAAGTTATACCTAGTCTAATTACACTACTTACATTACTTTTAACTTAGCTTACCTTTTTTAGCGCGCACTTACGTTTTTAGCTTCTTCCTATTACTACGCGCTCTAAACTCCTTTAAAGCAGTTAAATAAGCTTTATTCTTAACTATTAAAATTCTTTTTACCTAAATCTGCTTTTTTTTATGTAATTTATATTATATAGTAGCTTTATTTACTACTTAAAGCTTTATAATTTTATTGCCTACTTTATTATGTTAATGCTTTAAATAACTATTATTTACTTCTTATTACTTTACTATATTACCTTTAGCTGTTTTTATCTCTTTAAAGCTGTAATAACTGCTCTAGTTAATATCTAGCCTATTATAAAACCTAACTTATTAAAGTTATACCTGTTTTTATTCTAAATACTATACTTAGCTTTTATGTTAGCTACTAGGCAAAACTAGCTCTAGATAACCTCTAGATTTTTATAAAGTACTTTTTTATAATTATACTTATAATTAAACTTTATTATAAACTTAGGGCAGTGCTTAACCTACATACTAGGCTAGTTTAAGCTAACCTAGCCTAAATTACGCTCTATAAGTAAGGAATTAGCTATATTAGCTATAGCTGTAAGCCTAAAGGGAAATCTGCGTGTAATAAGCTTAAGTATATACTTAATAACTACTTTCTTTTTAAGCTTAGTTAAATTCCTTAATTTAGGCTAGCATTCTACTTATAAAGGCTGTCTAGCGCGTTAATTACTTAGTGTTGTGTAAAAGACATTATAGATAGCTGCAGCATGTTATAAGAAAAGTTTTAAGTCTTATTTAAAAGCCTAAAGAGTAAGCTGTATTTAACATTCTTTAGAAGATTTAATCTAGTGTTGTTGTTAAGGCATTATGCAGATAGGTAGAGTTTAGTAGGGGCTTAGCAAAAGTGGCCGGCCAACCTGTGTAGCCGGCCAACCTGTTAGGTACGTTAATAAGTTTTTATTTATGCTTAAAAAGGGCGCACTAATTATTTTTAAGTTAGTAGTAGTTTGTCTAGGATTTATACTTTATTAAAGTAGGTAGTAATTAATGTTATAATTTTTACTTATAAAGGTCTCTATTTTAGAGATGCCTTAAGCACACAGGCTAAAGTTAGGTTAGAAGAGTGGTAGAGGAAACTGTTAAGACCCACGATTGGACCGTAAGCAACCAATTGGCGGTGCCCCACAGCTTAAACAATCAAGGATGGAGAGTTCTTAACCCCGTCCTAGACAGGTCACGTGACAGGACGGATGAGGAATGGCTCCGGCTATTAGACAGATGCATAGAGGAATGCATCGTCTAATGACGAGCGAGCGGTTGCATGCAGAAGCATGCAGACGAATGCGCACCAAAAAACCTTTGTATGAGCCTGCAGGAACCTGCAACAACCTGTAAACTTTATGTATATAGTCTTAATTACAACTATAGTTAGAGGGCTGTAATTACTGTTTAGTCTTTCTATATAATAGACTAAGAGGCATTAATACCTTTTTAAAGAGAACAATTGCTGCCTTGTATATTGTTACGGTCTACGGTTGGACCAGCGTAACTCCACCAGCAGTGCTCCACAATCTAGCTGGATTGGGGCAGGGTTCGCCTATGGACCAATCGGAGGACACAGAAGCAGCGCAGCTGCCTGCGGTAATAGAGGAGTGCACCATCTAATAGGGAAGACAAGCCACAAGTTTAGAAGTCTAAGGGAGCTTATAGAGCTCGCCTTAGCAGACTTCTATAAACTCCTCCTGCTCCCCTTAGCACCTACGCTACATGTATATAGTTCCTACATTAAACAACCTTTAGAAGGTGTGTTTAATGTTTAGTTTATTCTTTACATAAACTAAGTAGCATTTAGCTTTTTAAAAAGCTATAATACTATCTATATATCTTACAACATATATACCTCTAATTCTGTCTAACAGGACTGTTTAACCTAGCCTCCCTACTGCCGCACACAGGGCAAACTATGATCTGGTCACCCTCTTCCCCTCTAATAGCCTATTAGCCTGTACGTAGGACTGTACACCCTACTAGATTAGCCCCTTACTACCTGTCCTACTTCTCCCCTAGGAACATTATAAGACCTAAGTGCTTCTATAAAGTAAAAATTATAACATTAAACACTACCTTTTTAAAAAGTATAGATACCTCTTAACACAACCTAGATTCTAACATAGCCTACGCAGCTCTATTAGGATTTATAGAAGTTCTTAGTTAAAGCAAAGCTATCCTAGCAGAACAAATTAACATAATTTAGGATAACATTAAGAAACTTAAGTAGATTAGTAAAAAGATTAGTAAACTAGTAAAACTTAAATAAAAAATTACTAACTTTTACTAAAAAGTAATAAAATCTTAAACTGTTTTTAAACTTTAAAGCCTTTAAGAAGCTACTAATCACGCCTATTAAATACATAAACTATAAGTAAAGTTAGTAAAAGTTTAAAACATCTTAATAAAGAAAGTAAGCATTATAGCTAAAAAAGCTTTAAAGCTAGCTTTTTTAAAGCCTTTTAAAGAATTACTAAAAAACTTTTACCTATTTTTTATAAAATGTTATCTTTATATATAATATAATAAAGGAGCATTTTAGACTAACACAGAAATAATATCTTAAATAGGATTACACCTAAAAGGCCTACCTGTAATTTAGTTCTAGCTCTATATAGATAATTAGATAGACTTTAAAGCTAACAGCACAACACTTACTTTTAAAATAAAAAAAGTGTTTAGTAGTGCTAAAAACTTTAAAAAAGCTTTAACAGCTATTTATAAAACTTTAGATAAAAAAAAGATTACAGCTAATAAGTTAAATACTATAAAGCAGGGCAGTAGCCTAGTCTAGAATTACATAGTACGCTTTAGAGAAAATTAGCTATCTGCAGATAGACAGACTAAAAAGCCCTCTATTACATGTTCTATAATAGACTAAGTAAATTAGTAAAAAATAAGTTTATGTATAGTAATAAGCTAACTACTTTTAAAAACTATATTATATAAGTAACAACCTATAATAACTATTATAAGAAGTGTAAAAGAGAAAGAAATAAAAAAGAACTTTTTAAAGACTAAAGTTTATTTCTAAAAAGAAAAAGCTTTTATAATATAATAAAAAACTAATAGACTTTAGTTATGTAAAGCATATATAAAGCCTTTTTTCTAAGAAAAGCTAAGTTCTAGAACATAATAGGCTACCTCTAATAAAGGAATAATAAAAGTGGCTAGAGAACAAGGCCTACCTAAACTATAAAAAAGTAAGACATTTCTACTAAAATTACCTAAACTCTTAGAAAAGAGAGAATAAAAATACTACTATAATAATAAAAACTATTACTGCTAAATATAGCCTTATAAATAAGAAAATATTAGAAAAACTAAATAATAGACTTTAGTAGTAATATAAAGAAAACTATTCTTTAAATAGCTGTTTTAAAGTATACTAGAAAGTAGTTATTTAAAACTTTAGCAGCTTAAATATAGTGTTGCAGGACCTTACAATTTTTAAAAAATATAAAAAAGAAACTTAGATCTAAGAATATATTATAAATATTTAAAAAAAAAGAAAAACAGTTCCCTCTTTAAGATTAAACCCCTAGCACTTTAGTAAAAAAGCTTTTCTAATAGTTTTAGAAATGTAAATGCTAGAAATGCAGCCTACGCTATAACTATTTAAGCTACTATATAGTTTTACTTTACTAGATAAACATTAGTAACAACTACTTTATGTTTAACATAATATAGCGCATAGCTAGAGTTAAGTACAACATTATAAATAAAAAAAAGTAATAGTAATTTTTTATTAAAATTAAAAACTAAAAGCTAGAAAAACTAGGCAGACTTACTAGGTTTAAAGTACTAGAACTAGTACCTAGAAAACCTAAAACACCCCTCTTAAGCCTTATAATTAGCAGGAAGGCTTTAGTAATGTAATAGAGCTATAGCTAGTGTGCACTCTATAGAAATAATGCCTATAGCACTAATAATTACTAATAAAAACAACACCCTGTATAGATAGTATAAACACAAGAATACTTACAGTAGACTTAGAAAAGTCCTTTTAACATGCTACATAGACCTAACAATTGTCTATACTCTTAGTACTAATGTACACAGTGTTACTGTGTAAAGCATTAGGATAATAAACACTAGACAGGCTAGTAGCCTACATAGAAGAAGAACTATAATAGATGCCTATAGCAAAGAACAGCCTCTACCTGTAAAACTATAAACTGCTACACTTGTTAAACAGCCCCCCCCTATAAACAAGAAAGGTAGATAAAGTGTAAAGAATAAAATAACTACTAGTTCTACTATTTTTAATAAAAGGTAGTAAAAAAAGAAAACTATCTAACATTACATTACTTAGTTAAAAATTATAAGTGTAAAGTAGCTAACTACTATAACTAAAAACACTAAATCTATAAAAAAAAAGAATAAGTTTAATAATAACCTATAAAACATTAATCTTTACCTACTTTTAAATAAAAAAGTCCTTTACAACATATTAGCAGTAATTATAGTAGAATAAGAAACAGGACATAGCTTAACTACAACTTTTATGTACAAAGAACAGTTAAGACTAGCTCTTATAGACAGCAGATGCACTTTTACTGCTATAAATAAAGATTAAGTAGATAAATAAAGCATTTTATTCTATATAAAAAAAAACTTATTTAAAATAACTCTTACTAACACATTCTTAATTAAGTATAGCAAAGAATAAATTAACCTAGAAATATATAAAAAAGACTTTAAAACTCTAAACACTAGAAATTAAAGGTCTATAAACATACTACTACTAAAAGGCAAGTACAACATAATTCTAGGCTATAACTAGCTTAGAACACATAACCCTGCTATTAATTAAAAAATAATAACAATAAAAAGCTTAGAGAATTATGTGTGCATAACTTAGTTAGCATGCTACAACAATAAATGCCTAATCTATAAATAAGTAAAGTAGGGTAGCAGTTACTACTCTAAGAAAAGAAAACTTAAAAGATTTCTTTATTAAGAACTAAAAGCTTAAGCTATTTAAATAATAAAAAAAGCTTAAAAAAGTCTTATATAAAAAAAATTAAAGCTAATAAAGATGTAGAATAAATAAAGATCTTTAGAATTTAAAAGAAAAAAAGCATTCCTGTAGAATATAAGAACTATAAGGACATGTTTAAGACACTAAAAGATCTAGAAAAACTACTACTGCATTAGCTTTAAAACTATGCTATTAACCTAGTAAAAAACTATAATCTAAAAACCTATAGGCTCTGTCCTCTAACAAGAACATAGAAGAAGGCCTTATAAGAATACATTAACTAAATATTAGCTTAAGGCCACATCTAGGAAAGCTATAGCCTAGTTGCCTTAGCTATAGTTTTTGTAAAAAAAAAAGAAGAAAAAATCTAAGTCTACTAGGACTATAGAACTTTAAATAATAACATAATTTAAAATTAGTTTCCTTTACTAATTATATAAGACATTATAAACTAATTAAAAAGAACTAAGTACTTTACAAAGTTTAATGTATAAAATAAATTTAATAAGATTAGAATAAAAAAAAAGATAAGTAGCTTACAGCATTTAAAACTCTATAAAGACTTTATAAATTATTAGTAATGCTGTTTAGCTTAACAAACGCCTTAGTAACATTCTAGTAAATTATTAACATAGCCCTTAATTTATATCTTAATGTCTTTACTCTAGTATACCTAGATAATGTCTTTATCTATTTAAAAGACTCTCTAGAAGATTATGTATAAAAAGTATAAAAAGTCTTAGAGCAGCTAAGAAAGTACAAGCTCTACCTGCAGCTCTTTAAATGTAAATTTTATGTTACTAAAACAAAGTATTTAGGATTTATAATTAATAAAAAAGAAATAAAAATTAACTTAGCTAAAGTATAAAAAGTACTTAAGTAGCTAAAACTTATAATAGTTAAAAAAGTTAAAGAATTCCTTAGACTATTAAAATATATTAGATAAATAATTAAAGACTACTTAAAAATTACTATAATACTAATAAACACTACTACTAAAGAGTAAGTAATAGCAAAGTTTGTCTAAACCTTATAAATAAATAAAGCATTTATAGCGCTAAAATAAGCTATAATAGCTAAACTAGTATTAAGGATGTACAACCTACAGCTAGATACTAAGATCCACACAGACGCATCCTTAGGAGCTAGTAGAGCTGCTGTCCGTACGCAGCAGCAGCGTCGCGGCCTGGATACGAGCGATCACGCACAAGCAGGATCACGTATCTATGTCACATGATGCTCGTGCGCGAACCTCTGTGCGCGAACATCTAGATATCCCCCTTTTTCCTCTGTACAGAGGAAAAACAAGAAGCAATTAACACTAGTTACCTAACACCCCTGTGCGATGTTTACACCGTGCAAACCTCTCTGTCTTGTACGCATTTGCTAACACTAAGTGCTAGCTAGCAGAGAGTCTATTTAACACTAATTAGTGGTTTAAATACTGTAAGAGAGGAAGCTTTTCTTATACCTTTCTGTTTAAAGGTTTGTGTACAAGAAGAATTCTTTTCCTTACTACTTTAACTGCAAATTAGCAAGAGTAAAGACAGAGTCTAATTTACATGCAAGTGGCTGTAAATCTCTGTTCAGTTACCTAAGCAAGAGCAAGAAACCTGTCTGTACAATACTGTTT